ATATATATATATATATACATATACATATATAAATATATATGTAGATTTTTTTAAAATGAGAGCCTTTTTCAGTGGTTTGGCGGGAAAAAATTAGAAAGCATTGATCGTCGTAGTTTCTGTTAGTTTAATTATTAGTCTGCCCTTTTTTGGTCGAAGCAGCAGAATCTCACTCGACTTTGTGATCTCTGCAGACTTGGATATTGTCTTGTCAGTGAAAATCTTACGCGAACAAAACCCATGTAGTTTGTCGGCTACAAAACCTGAGCTTATTTTATCTTTTTTTGGTAACTCATTTATGTTTAACGCGGTGACTTATTTAGATAGAATAAACCTTCGTCCATCAGTGTCTCGCGAAGAATGTACTAAAGGTGGCTGGGCAAATATGATGCTCCAATTTGAGTCATCTCGTGAAATCGCACAGCGTCGAAATGAACATCACACACAATGGCTTAGAGATGAAAAGGTCTGTATTTTTCACTTAAAATCCTTTTCAGCGTTGTGTTTTGTCTTGGCGTAACCTTCATTTATATATTTTCAGCCTAAGCTAGAATTTCAGATTGCTTGCTTAGGAAATAATCAATTTGGAGATTCAGGAGTCTCAACGTGCAGAACGAATCTCTCGTATGGAGGCACACGTGAGTAACATGCTGTCATCTCAAGAGGATGAAATGGAAGAAGATCAAGAAGACGATGGATTGGATGAACTTCGGGATGAAGTGAATAGAATTAGCCAAGAAGTGAGTAGTTTAGAATGCATTTGAACTGATGTTGATAGTTCGAGATACCTTTTCATCTTATTTATTCATTTAAGCTTTCTTATGAACTGTTGTTTGAGCGACTTATAAGCGCTGCTTAATGCGACTTAAAAGTGTTAATCTTGAATATTTAATGTTTAGGAAGCCGAGTCACTGGAAGGTGGAATGGACGAGTGTCCTGATGTCTTACGCAGAGAATTTGAGGCCTACATGGAAGAACGTTTTTTGACGGGACAAGATGCAAGGTAACTTCGTTT